TGGAGTGTTTCGGTTTGGCATGTGTGAGCGCCAGTTTCAGGGGGAGGTAACGTGTGTTCCAAGGTGCGTCTGCAAGCGTCGGCGTGATAAGCTCACCATTTATACGGAGGGTTGGCGCCGCGTGTCGCAAGTCGGTAGATTGTATTCGGGGTTTAATGACACCCTGTTCGAGGCCAGATTTGCGTCCCCACGCATCAATGTCATCTAAGAAGGGCTGGAGCGAAACCAATCGAGGGGCTTGGATCCATGTGTCATCGACAAATAAATAAGAACGGAGGAGCTTGGGCCGAAATTGTGCTAGCGTGACAGCTAAGGAATCCATGTAAATAATAAAGAGCTGGGGGCCGACGATTGAGCCTTGTAGGATGCCATTCGTTCTAAGGAATAGAGATGAGAGCGTGCCACGGTATGTCACTCGGGTAGGGACCCTCTCAAACAGCGCGCGGAGGCAGTTGATCCAGTTTTCGGGCATTCCAGTGTGACACAGAAGTACCCATAGGCGTGGGAGAGCGACCTTGTCGTATGCCTTGTTTATGTCCAGACAGACGTCGTTCCACTCCTCTTCTGACTGTCCCTAAACCCAATTTATAGGAGCTGAAGATTTTTTTTCAGGCGCCAACCAAAATCTACCAGTTCCGAACTTAACAATTATATGGACGGTCCATTATATGGACGGTAGGGCTGAGCCAGTCATCACAGTACAGGAGTTTGCGAACATGATACACACAGTTTAAATATGTGCGGGCGACGAAGGGCAACGTTACTAGCTTTTGCTGCGCAGAAGCAAGACAGAGTTAATGTGAAATTTAAGGACGGCATATTTCGGTCGTATAGAGGGTTTCAGATTAATCAGTACGAGCTACCACTCAACGAAGGTGTGATCGCCAGAGTACCGATAGAGATTCTCAAGGACACCATATCTGGCACTGGAATTGGTGACAAGATTTTAAATAGATTCTACAAATTACGTCGGTAGCCGTCGGTATCGCAACTCAGGAATGTAGCATCGAGGGACCAGATAATCAAAAAGCTAATCAAAAACCACAGAATCATCAAATTCCGAGTTTTGGGTTTGGATACAAATATTCTTGATATTTGTCATCAGAAATATTAGCGGTAGAACCGGTAAGCTAAACCGGGACCCCGCGTGTGAGAGAAAAACCCTAAGTAGAAACCTGAGTTTAGTGAATTAGAAAACACAAATACTCAGCTCGACTCTTTCAGACTAGAGACGTTTCCTAGCTGAGATAAGCGTACTTGAGAAGAGGTTTATTGTATCCTTTTGAGTCGCATCTTTCAGCTGCTCTATATACTCTACAGAAAGACACTAGATTAAATTTGGAAAATTGCACAAAGTTTCAAATTTATGTCTGACACGAAAGTACTTGACGGCGGTTTGGGGACTAGTGGTGAAGCAGGCGGTTTGACGACGGCGGCATTAATCGTGTTCATGCTGCTTTTAGCTATTTTAAGTTTTGGGCTGGTGTACGATAGTTACGTGCTTGACCATTGTCCGAAAAGAGGCTTGAGGGGTGTATAAGGGTACTGTGAATATCGTCTTACACGGGGTGCTGGCGACTACAGCATCTGCAACGTGATTAATTATGCTGCAAAGGGACCTTCTATTCATTTCTCGTGCGGTTAAAACTATTTTAAAATATGGCATACACACATATGGCAAAAATCTGGAAACATAAGCTATTTTTTGGTGCACTCCTGCAAAGATGTCAGACAATTACTTTGAGGCGATATGTGGGTACCTGTGTATGTCTGTGTTAAGAGACTGTTGTTTGACATGAACAGGATAGAGGCGGATATGACGAAGCGTACACATCGAATTGGGCAATGTATTTGCAAAAACATATGTGGAGTACAACAACAGATGACAGACGTAGAACACAATTGCGAACTCGTACGTGTTTTGGAAACGTTACAACAAAAAGTATTCAACGAGTATTGTACCCCAGAGTATATATACACAAGAAGCCCATTCATGTAGTGGTGACATCAACGGAAGGGCACAAATTCGTTTTATGTGTATTGGAAGTGACAGGTGTTGGAATATAATTTTTTTGCGCACGACTATCGTTTCTATGCTACAGTAGAAGAGTCCTGGGCGAAAGGCAATACTTGATTTTTTTTTGGGTTCAAAGACTTGCGACCTGTTTATAAGACTGCAACAAAGGGCTAGTTCTAGAATTTAGAAAACAGTGCTTGAGCTATATGCCATTTACAAACGAGCACATGCAATGAGAGCTGACAATTACGACATAAAACGACCATTCAGACTGTGTGGATGTGACCAGAATGTTATAAGTGGTAGTGCAGCTACAGTTGGAGGACTTGCTATGGCTTGCAGAGGGATCGACATTTGGCTACTGGGCTGTGGAGCTGCCGTTAGTTTGATTCAGAGCTGCGTGTGATTGAACCTGAGAAGGCAGTAGTGGGCAAGAAATTTGTCAAGGATATTGGTTGGTTACCTATTACGTATTGTCTAGATCGAAAAGACCATCAGGACTCTATCGACACGAGTAGTTTGGTGAAATTGACAAGGTCGTTGAAAGAAGTTGGTCAATTCGTGCTCACTGCCAACTTACACAAGGACTTATGGTTTGAAGCAGCGCAACAGAGTTTTAAGCCATCATCTTGTAAATACAATAAGTTGGAGAAGGCTAAAACAACTGTTACGCAGCTGAAGTCGTAGAAGGAACAAAGTGAGATGATCGACCTATTATTCTCGACGGACACTCAACAGTATTTATAATGGTACATCCGGATGAAGAAACGCCAGTGTCTTGCATAAGACTAGAGACGTAGTCTTTTTTGTTTGAGGGAGATGAAGGATATCAAGAAGAGATAAAAGCGATAGAATGACTCCAGAAAAAGTCAATTTTGAGGTAGACGATATAATCAACATCATGACTTGCAATTCCGACACAACTGTGCTCACGGCTTAAGTATATTGGCCCATTCAAGATTTCAGTGGCCGATAAGAAGAGATGAAGTTAATAACGTTGGTGGCTCTAGTGCCTTATATATCGGGTCACGTCGCATTCCAACGACAAAAATCATCCTTTGTCGCACACATGAAGCTACAACTCTTTATGTCTAAAAAGATTCTCGGGAAGTACAAACATGATGACATGACATGTTACACTACGGAGTTTGCAGATGGGGCATAATACGGTCTACAACCATCATAACGTGATATAGGTTCAGACTATATATACGTCTCACTGTTAGAGTGCAATGTAGTTGACTATAAATAAAGTGCAAATGTGTATTCATGTCTGATCTCACCTTTGGTTTTATACCTAAGATGTTTGTGCTAGTATTCAGCCGCTTAGGCTGGCCAGGGTAAAACATATATGGTCAGTATGAGAAATTTTCTGCAAAACATTTCAATACTTCGATGCTATTCTATTTCGACTTCTCTGCAACTAAATTCCACGCTGATCACATGGTGCCTTTCCGCATAGGTTGTGACCCACATGGGAACGCAGCTATTTTTACAATGTCGCGGTTGACAGACTTAATCAACTTTCGGGAGTCGGTCAAGAAACTTAATCAACTCTCGGTTGTCGGTTAAGTATTAACCAACTCTCGGGAATAGGTTAAGTAATTTGATTAGCTTTCGAGAGTGAGCTATACCTGATGACTTCTATAAATTAATGAGAGTTTCTTGCTATAAAATCTGGATTTTAGGGTTCTCGGTATCCGCAACGCCATTCTGGCTCTTTCAGAAAGCTCTCATTGGAATCCTCGATTCTCTTGGCCATGTCATTTGGTATATCAATGACCAAAACGCCACGTGAGCACTCGGATCCCCGCTCTATGATACACCGGGCGGCTTTATGCCAGGTTGTCACGCAATAAAAACAACAAGAGAATAGTCAGGGATGTAGTGTTTAACTTTGTGTGGACAGGAAAATGTAGTACTTTTGCTCCAGGCCTCTGGTCTTGGTACTAAAATGTCTTAGCCTAGAAAACCTGAAATGAACTTCATACGAAGCAATGTCTCTCCAAGTTGCCTCTTCTATTTTGGTTGCGCTAAGCGATTTTTATCTTGAGTTTTATCTCTACATACCGTTTCATTTACTTCACGTTGCCTCTTCTATTTTGGTTGCGCTAAATAATTATATATCTTTTTTTTTCCAGTTCGATCTCTACCCGTGCTTAGGGCGTACTACATTATGTTTGCTATATTTTCGTTCGATGTACTTGTGATGATTAACAGTACTAAGTGAATTGTTTCGATATAGTGGTCATCACATTTTTATCGGTGGTATTTCCATTATTGAACATAGTTCCAGACATGGTATCCAAGTTTCAAATCGTTATCTCAGATTAAAATATATACAGCGACTACAGAGTTTTACGAATCCCTGAAATACACCATTCATATTTTTAGAACACAACTTTCAGCGTCTTGGGATTTTAGACGAGGTAGTACTTAAACTGAAGCATTTTGCTGATTTAGGTCGTGTCACTTTCGATCGTAGTGTTGTAAATGATAAATACGAATTAAATCGAGTCAATAACCAAGAAGGTAGATTGTAATTCGGTCTAGAATTTAAGCTACAGCCGCGGCTACCCTCATCCTTTCGTGGCTACATATCTTCACACAGCCAACTCATTCAGACTCGGATTTATTTTTGAAGTACACAGCATTGGCCTTAGCTGTTCTAAATTTGCTTTTTAAGAAATTGTCTATAAATAAATGCAACCTCTCATTAGTGAGAGGGTTTATAGCTGCCGTGATGGCACTCTGTATATATTCAAACTATGATACATAATCGTACTCCAGCCAGAATCTCGTCTTCCCACCAACAACTCAAACCATACTGTGCTGCACGAGTGTTCGTTCAGTAGTACAGAGGCAGCAATTGAGCTATATCCGTATATACAATCGACCCTTATAGCGGGCGGCTTAACTTTTTATAACCCCGGACGCATATCACGCGCAAACTTTACCGGATCGATAGCATCTGGGCTAAAATTGCACAGTTAGAAGGTCTCATTTGTGAACCTCCATTCTAAAACCGTTTATTATAACATTGATCATATTATTACACTAAATTGAGAGACACCTCAAATGCTGATCACATGAGATGTATGGCCGTTGAGTCTTCTGAAAGCAGTATTACAGACGAGAAGATAGCAGGCTTGGCATCATTCCACGTGTATACTTTAAGCTTTCGCGTTCTCCGATGCTTGCTGAGACATGATGAAGAACTGATTGCCAATCCGCCTGCAAATGTCCAGAGCACGACATTACAAACCGCACTATAAATTAAGCGCAGACTGACATGCATAAGATCATCCATCACATTCTGATGGTGGACGTTGCATATATGGACCATGTTCTCCAAGGTAAATCTTAGTACAGATACGGACATGAGTATCCCATATATGTGCTTTTTATCCTCCAAAGTAAATCTGAGTGACAATATTTCTCATGTATATAAATCATGTTGTTCGAGGTAAGACTTAGTATACGTACATGCATCAGTATCGCATGAGCGATTGCTGATAATTCTATGTAGCCTGAGATATATATCACACATAACGAAAATCCTTGCTCAGGTTCTATTTATAGGAGCGGATTCATGAGAAATGAATTGTAATAAGGAAAACAAACAGCATTGCAGGGGTTGCTTAAAGTGCACTATTTGGATCACCACGGGACAAGGCTGCACGCCGCACGTGTGCACCTGCCGTACACATGCGTAGGTCTCACCAACAATGTAGTACAGCTACGTGAATAAGGATAGGGACAGTGATGGGTTGCAAATACACTCGCATTTGACACTCACCGGAAGACGTCGCGCAATATACTGCGTAATTCGGGCCGCATATCGAGCGCCATCATCTCACTCAAATTGCTGTAGTACTGTCCCACATGGCGGGCGAACCGATCGTCATTGAAGCCCAGTACCTGTGAAGTTAAAAGTCAACACACGCGGGTATGGGTATGTAGTGATGTGCATCGCTTGTACTGAAGTGTGGTGGGGCTTCGGCGAACAAAGCGCATGCACGTGACCCTGTAGGACCAGAGGACGCAGTGATATATCGACCCACTTTAACTGAGTAGGTGCGGGTTTGGTAGTCGAAGAAGCACCAGACAATATATACCTAGACTCACGCACGGCAAATCTGAACACCACACACTGAAAAATCAAGCAGTAGCCGGAACGAATTTGGTATTGGAAGCCAATAAGACACTGAAATGGGTGAGTGGGGAGACAGGTTCAACCCGGCACTCCAATAGACAAGCAACAACATAATATACCTTTTATGGCACACAGAGAATATACCAATCTGCACCAGCGTTGCATGTGTAGCGTACCACTGGAAGAAATGCAACTCAGTCACGACTACATGCAAGTATAGAAGCAACCTGCTTAGTGCACAAGCTGACTGTCTAGGTGCACTACAGAGGCTGGTCATAGAACACGCACGTGACGAGAGAGTTACCTATCTCATACAGCGAACTAGACCCAAGACTCACAGGTTAAACAAATACGGATGAGAAGCATCCGCATCAAGTCCACGGAGGTACAGTTATATAATAGAACCAGCGGATTGTATCTATACAGGAACAGGGCGGATGCGTTCATGATATGTGAGGTATATATATATATATATATAGATTCAACATGACCAAACACACAGGGCACTCGGTACGAGACGTACCTTGGTGAGGATCAGCACCAATACGGGTGACCAGATGGCGCGCTGTTTATCACTCTGCAGATGCACAAACAACTCCATGATTTGGTTGCCAAACTGGTACAGCCGACTCTCGACATTTGTCCACATCTCCTCGCGACTGACGTCATCGTAGATTCGGAATAATATGCCTGCGTGGTTTAGTGTGGCCGGTACAGGAGAGGCGCATAGGATCTTGTGAGGTCATATTTTGTAGAGGCAGTGACGAGAAACAGCGTACATTAATAACGTATAGAAATAGAAAGAGCGCACATTCGTATACGTATACGTATATATATATATATATAAGCATATATATATATATATACAAGTATGTAGGCAGATATGCAGTACCCGCACGCACAAACCAATGACATCGAGACTAGTGCTATTCAGGAATTCCTCTACTTCTGATCAGCGCCCCTTCTAAAGGGCTACGGAGTTGTAGCAGCACAAGGGCGAGGCCAAAAGTTCAATCTGAATTATAAATTATACAAAAACAAATAATATTCTGGGATCTCAATTTCTGTCAATTGTTTTTACCCAGAAGAGTCTGTTCGCAGTTGTATTGAGTACCGAGGGGGAAGGTACCCGGTCTGTGCATATAGAAGTACAAGCATGGAGTTGTTCTATCTAAATATATCCCGTTCGGCACAGCAGCAAAGACTTCCCATAACTATACACTGCCCTTTGTCTCCAATAACTCTCACGTGGCCATAGCTTACTCACACACGGCCACTCCCACAACTACAACACACCCACGAACACATACACATACACGTACACGTACACGTACACGTACAAATACACGTACACCTTCTGCCCCCTCTACCCACCTAAACTGGCGTCACAACTGCAACAAACCCACGTACACGTACACATACACGTACACCTTCTGCTCCCTCTACCCACCTAAACTGGCGTCACAACTGCAACAAACCCACGTACACGTACACGTACACATACACGTACACATACATGTACACATACACGTACACCCAGACCTACACCTTCTACACCCTCTACCCACCTAAACTGGCGTGCAAGGACGATGTCTCCTGCTTCAGCAGATTGGGCAGTTGTTTCATGAAGCCAGCCTTCCACAGAGAAGTGCGCAGCCGTTGGTCGTTGTTGAAGCCCTTTGCAAACTCGTGCGAATCCCGTAGACAGTCCAACAGTATCTTCAACTGGTTGTGCGCGTGCGAGTGTTAAGGCACGTGTGGGTATTGCAGGGGTTAATTAGAGGGCCAGCGGTAGTACAGGTGAAATACGAGTCTCCCATCGCATCCGTTCCGTGTGGCAGGAATATCCAATCCTCACACACAACGGATGGCACAGATTGGCATGGTACACGTGGGTGGGTTCATGCGCATAGACGCTCCAGGACAGACAGATACACATGCATGGCACGAGAGGGGGTAGATAAGGAATGGACTGAGCCCGTATGCGAGGCTGATATATTGTCCACTGTCGCTGTACTATGGCACGAGAGGGGGTAGATATGTAATGGACTGAGCCTGTATGCGAGGTAGATAGACAGCTGACTGTTGCTGTAATTGACTGTGGTGGGCTTCATGATCCAGTTAGCGACCTGAGTGTTAGAAATAGGACCTGAAGAGAGAGCCTGGCCTGGCCGGATTCAGCCCAGATTCGAGTCGAGGTGGTCACAGCAGAGGTATTGCAGATACATGCATACATGCATGCAATGTCAATGTGATGTTATTCGAGTGTGCTTTATCTGCCAATGAATGAAGACTCTGGCAGAACTATTGTAGTTACATACACACACACTCACAATGTCAAGGTGATGCATTTCAAATGTCTTTTAGTCCGCTACTGAATGAAGACTCTGATAACACCCCACAGAACGACTGTCGCGCTCGTAGACGAGGGTATGGTGCACACAGCAAGCATGGATAGTTTAAGCGCCGACTGTATATACGGATATGTGAGCATCCAGAGACAAGGGACGGCAGATGGTACTCATACAATCTGCATATACATCACTGTGATGCACGTTATATATATATATATATACATATATACGCACAGACAGACACAAATACAGACACACATTTATAAATATAATTTTAAACTTGCGTATATCAATACAGAGCGCCCTGCGTGGTTATACCTGGTTAGGATCGAGGTAGGTGTACATGCCAGCCTCTGGTTTGTCTTTCTCCTGGGGCTCCTCCACAGTCTCGTCTTGGGCCAGTTCCTCTTTATTTGACCCTTGTATGGATGTAGGCACGTCCGCATTCCCACCCGTATTTGCATCTGTATCTGTACTCGCTTCTGCGGTAGCACCTGCTGTGCCGGCTCCTCCTTTATTGTCCTTATCCTGGGGTTCGCTGGACGTCTTCATCTGTAACGCTTGCCTGTCATGTGGGTGAGACATTTGACTCAGGTTCATTACTGGGCTCTGGACAATAGCTTGGAACAGCCGTAGACGCTCTTAACACACATACGCACACACACGGCCACACAGATGTGTGTCCACATACCACATGTGCAAAATATAGATGCACATACTGATGTTAGCACGCAAATGAAATCTCTGAACAGCGGTTTCACACATCCAGTTAAAGGATTCTCGATACACACAATCCACACAAGAGCACGCAAACGCACACACACACGCACGCACAGACAGACAGATATAGTCAACCACTGCCTTAGACAGACAATTATTAGAATAATGTCCTGGCTGTTTACATGCACGACATAAGGGACAAAGCGGGTCTCTGTGGCGGAGCTAGTCATAGGTGCACAGACACAGACACAGGCGCAAATACAGACACAGACACGTACGCACATACACATACACATACACAGACGCGTACATACACATATACAAACACATACAGATACACAGGCGCAGACACAGACACGTACACACATACATTATACATACACATACACATACAAAGAGAGGATACCCTTCACACACCTCGTGGCAAAGTCGGCCTGTGCTTGCACGCCGCTCTCATGCAGCACTATGTTCTCCACCGCCTGGATCATCTCCAACTGCACCACACACTTGATGATGATGGAGTTGAAGTCCAAGCCCTGTCGCTGCGAGTCTTTGGGAACGCCTTCTCGGTCGTGTTGTGCCTGTAGGGTAGCGTTGAAGCTGACCAGACCTCGTGGGGTGGAGCCTGAGGGTGCGGAGGGACGAGGTGGTGTGGGATAGGGGTTGGCGGAAGCTATATGGATGTGTGTGTGTGTGTGTGTGTATGAGGCTTTGAATGGTGGTATGGTGAAGTATATGGTAATGTTTAGGGTTTTGGTGCGATTCTGGTTCATGTGGGTAGGTATTCAGAACGATCACAGACACAGCCACAGACAAAGACACAGACAGAGACCCGAGCATAGAAACTTATACTCACATACTCACCGTATATGCTATGCAAATACACACAAATACACTAACATACAAATGCAAAAACATAGAAACATAACCAAACATGACACATAGAAACATAGCAATCAAACATAAATACATACAAACATAACAACTAAACATCAATACACACAAACATATAAACATAGCAATCAAACATAAATACATACAAACATAAAAACTAAACATCAATACACACAAACATATAAACATAGCAATCAAACATAAAAACCAAACAATAATACACACAAACATAGCAATCAAAAATAAATACATACAAACATAAAAACTAAACATCAATACACACAAACATATAAACATAGCAACCAAACATAAATACATACAAACATAAAAACTAAACATCAACACACATAAACATCACAAGCTAACATCCATACATACCCTCGAATAATGATTTCACGGCGTTTGCTGTGGCATCCCAGCTGGCGCTGGTGAAGAGATGACCGTTAGAGAGCACCAACACTTGCAGACACTGTGTAGCACTACGCGCAATCTGTTCGTTGTCCTGGTCTATGCACCACCGCAGAGTGCCGTAGAAGGCAGCCAGCTGAGTGCAACGGAGTGGGTGGGAAAGTTAAGGTACTTGTAAGGTGTGCTTTATATGTGTGTGGGAGTTTATATATATATATATATATATATACATGTACATGTACGTATACATACAGACAGAAACAGACACAGACACAGACACACAGACCTGTAGAGACAGAGACAGGTACAGACAGGTACATGCACACAGACACAGACACAGACACAGACACTCATATACATATATATATATATATACATACACACACATATACATACATATATATATATACATATACATACACACATACATACATATATACATATATTCGATTGTTATCCATGCACGCACCCCCCCTCCCCGCTCTCCATCCACCTACCATGGGTTCTAGCTGGTCCATGTAGAGTGTGAATAGTTCCACAATGGCAAACAGTGCGTGGTTGCACGTGGTGTTGAGCCATGCAATGCGTTCGTGTTTGCGTTCGGGCAGTTTCTGGTCGTCGAACAGTCGGAAGAGAATCTGCAGGATCTCTTTCCAGTTGTCTGACCGGAACTTTTCTGTGTCACGGCGATTGGGCGAGAGATGTGGTTAGTAGCTGTCGTAAAGTACATGCATGTGGGTGTGCGTGCGTGTGTGTGTGTATGTGTTGCGTAGTGCTTTCACACAGGTGTATTTGTATATTTAGCAAGGGCGGGAGATGTGGTTGGTAGCTGTCCTAGGTACACGTTCCCATTGGGACATAGTTAGGTGCATCCTATGGGTGCGCATGGACAGCTGTTGTTGTACTGGGTACAGGCAATGGTAGTTGCACTTACTGCCGTGGGATTTGAGGATCTCAAAGAGAATCGTCAGCGCTCTGGTGCGGATGTCCAATGAAGTCCTGGACATGACCGAGTGCAGCCCAAAGAGGATAGGGAACCAGCCCTAAAAACAGGACAAAAGAAGACAGAAATGTCAGGATGAAGACACTAGTTATATAAAAAAAAAGAAAAAGGGGGGGGGGTTAATGCAAGCCACGTGTTCGTGTGAGCGAATGTACGGAACTTATAAGCACATGCACAAGCACAAGTACAAGCACAAGCACAAGCACAAGCACAAGTACACACGCATACGCTTGATATGCTACGGTTGGTGTTAGGCAGACCCAGGACAGTGTGCCCAATGCAGTCCATCTGTGGCTGTCAATGCAACAGTCCGTTTGAATCTGCAGTGCGAAATCACACACACACAATACACATACACGCACACGAACACGCACACCCCACACACACAATTACACGTACACGTACACGCACACGCACACGCACACACCCACAATCACACCCCCACCCACCCACACACACCCACATAAATATATAAACATACGGACACCCAGGCAGCGTCATCAAACTCATCGCCGAAGCTATGTTCCTGAGCCATGCGCTCGGCACACTCATGGATGCGGTCTATAGCCTCCATGGCGATGTTGGGGAAGTGCTGGTTGCACGCAAACTCAACCAGACAGTTGATGCTATCCACAAAGGCGGTCCCCACAAACAGATCCGTGTACGTCCGGATCACGGACTTAGTGGTGTTGAAAGCTGTATATATATATATATATATATATATATATATATATATATGTGTGTGTGGGGGGTGTGGGTAAAGACGGGTGCGTGGGTGTTTAGGGGTTAAAGTTTGACGGCTCTCCATATGCATTGGTATGTGTATGTACACATTCCACGCTTGCATGCAAGTATTCCATCTATTTTACGTACACTACGCAAACTTCTACGTCTACTCCACATTTTACGTATTGTACGTACTCTTCGCGTAAGTATTCGACGCAGTGCACATATGCGTTTACGTAAACTACATATTCTGCTTATTCTACATACTCCATGTAGTCCACGCATTGTACGTATTCTACTTATTCTACGTATTCTACATACTCCATGCATTCCACTTACTGTACGCATTTTACGTATACTTCTACGAATTCTACGTAAACAAACATTACCCAAAGTTACAATGGCGCTGCTGTCATCCCCTGCGGCCGCTGAGCACACAACAAAAATGTTTTTCCAACCCGACCGAATATTCTGGGCTTTGGACGAGACCATCTGCGATATACACCTGGGAGTAAGCAGTTAAAATAAACGATTCTGATTGGTAAGTGGTATACACTTGTAGGGATGCAGTTGAAAAAGTCGATTTTGATTGGTAAGTGATATACTACTGTAGGCACGAAGGAAAACTTATAGATGAATGTGAGCATACATACAATATGTGCACAGAAAACGCATACAAATTTTCAAATTTCAAATTTACAATAATACCCGGAGTATACATATATAGCAGATACAAACATATACTCTCTCTCTCCCACAGACATGCACACACGTATATATATATATATATATATATATATATATACATACGTATACATATACATACACACACACACACACACGCACATACACACACACACACACATACATAAATATTCACATAGGCACACTCACCTGACAACCATGTCTCGCATGTCTGGGTTAGCGTTGTGTGCCATGATGAACTCAAAAGGCTTCAAGAATTCTTTTTGGAAATGAAAATGGGCCAATTCGGGTCGCTCCAGAAACTTCATCGCCAATTGCCTCAATGAATCCACCGCAAACATCGCCACATCCAACTTCTTAAGGCATCCAACCTATGTGCACAAACGAATGCAAGTAAGTATATATATACATGTGTACTTATAGAATATACGATATATATATATATATATATATATATATATATATATATATATATATATATATATTATGTATATATATAGAAGATCTTATATATAATTCATATATATGTAAA